GCAGCCCCCCCCCCAGCAGTGGGGCCGGGAGCCATGGGTCCTGCCCTGCCTTCTCCTCCAGCAGCCGAGTCCACGTCCGCTGGTTCTCCAGGCAGCGGGTCAGGGCGTTCTCCACCGTCACGTTGAAGTTTTGCTGGTCTGGGAGGGATGGAGATGGGGGTCAGGGATTAAGGCGGGGGCCAGGGAGGCGTCACAGATGGTAGAGGCCGGAGGAGACCCCGGCTCCCTGGCACTCACCCATGTTGCTGGCCACTGACACCTCCGTGAAGTTGGGGCAGAAGACAGCGTAGTCAAAGTGGCAGGGCTGTGGGGAGAGTGGTAGGGGACAGGGGGTCAGCGCTGTGGGAGCCCTCAGGACCCACCCCATGGGATTTCCACTGGGACCAGTCCCACACCAGCAGGGTTACAGGGGTTTGGTCCAAGGAGGGGGTGATCCGAGTCCCACCACCACCACACACACCCAGGGCTGCGAGACCCTTGCAGGGGGTGCACCTACAACTCAGGGACAGCAGGGTGGACAGACAGACGGACTGCACAGGGCATCAGCTCCACCTCGTGGCTCCCCACACCCACAGCAAAGCAGGTCCCAGCACAGGCAGAGAACCCAGGCACCCGGGCACAGCGACCCCCCTCTGCACACCCCCAAAACCTCACCAGCAGCAGCTTGAGCAGCGCCGCCATGTCCCGGTCCCCTGTGGCGTTGAAGAGCAGCACGCGCACCTCAGAACCACTGCAGGGAGAAAGGGCGGGTGGCCCGTGCCCCACGGGGACCCCCAGCACCCCCACCCCATGTGCGTGTCCCCTCGTGTCCCCTCCTTACTCGTGGGGCTTGTCCTGTTTGAGGGCAGCCTGGTGGAACCAGCGGACACAGGCCTGGATGCTGCTGGTGGTGTGAGCCCCATCCAGGTACCACGTCACGGGGCCGTGGGGCAGCACCTGGGTCCGGCCCAGCCACTCCGTGTCCCGCAGGCCTGGGGGGTGGCACAGGGCATGGCTAGGACCCCCACACCCTCCTCAAGCACCGGG